AACCCGCGACCCTCAGATTGTGAATCGAGCGCCTTATCCACCTGGCCATGCCGGGCACTACTTGAAAGTGCTACGCCCTCTATACATAACAGGTTGCTAGTGGCGTACAAGACTAATAATAACAACCCCTACATTGTAAAATCTGCTTCGTATGTTTAAAATATCTAGTATGTCATGTATTATAGAATATTACATGCAGGTCTGTTTATTTTCTTACAAAATCACAGTATTATTTCAACGCATATATATATATATATATATATATATAAGGCCTGTACGGACTGGCGTGTGAGGACTTAGCCAATGACCACGTTTATAAATACATTAGTCGTGTAATCTTCTGAGCATTCATGTTAAAAATGATTACTCTTCTGTACACATACAGTATAAACTATCACACATAAAAGTACATTAAATCATTTAAAAAATACAAATAATAATAAGATTGTGCCTATTAGTAATAAGCATTTATATATATTCAACACTTAGGAACACTTTTTCTTGTATTTCATTACACAAATCTCGCGAATACCAATAGCATGCTCTGTTTCCAGACACAATGAAAATACGAAATTGCTAAGGTTAATCATTAGTAAATATGTGTTCATCGTTAGCCGTACAGAGAACGCAGAAAACCAGTCGTGATTTTGGAATTTTTGTTTCACGTTACTTTCCTCTGTCTGTATTGTTTCACACTTATAAAATTAGACTCCCGCGCTTGGTTTTTCTGTTTTTACTTTCTTAGTACAAGAAAACAGCAGGTATTTCACTTGTTTTTTCTGTTTTTACTTTCTTAAATACAAGAAAACAGCAGGTATTTCACTTGCTTTTTTTTCTGTTTTCATTTTCTTACTACAAGAAAACAGCAGGTATTTCACTTGTTTTTTCTGTTTTTACTTTCTTAGTACAAGAAAACAGCAGGTATTTCACTTGTTTTTTCTGTTTTTGCTTTCTTAAATACAAGAAAAGAGCAGGTATTTCACTTGCTGTTTCTGTTTGTACTTTCTTAGTACAAGAAAAACAGCAGGTATTTTACTTGATTTTTCTGTTTTTACTTTCTTAAGTACAAAAAACAGCAGGTATTTTACTTGATTTTTCTGTTTTTACTTTCTTAAGTACAAAAAAACAGCAGGTATTCTACACTACTTTTCTGTGTCTTTAGTAACCCAAGTATAAAAACAATGCAGATATTACACGTCACGTTTCTGTGTCTTTAGTAACCCAAGTATAAAAACAATGCAGATATTACACGTCACGTTTCTGTGTCTTTAGTAACCCAAGTATAAAAACAATGCAGATATTACACGTCATGTTTCTGTTTCTTTATTATTTCTAGCATAAAACCACTTTATGTATTTCATTCGATTATTCTTTTTCTGTGCTGTCTCACGTATTAGATTTAGAACTACTGATTAGCAGGGAGAATTAGTGTTACTAACCCTATTGAATTGCTTCGAATGTCACATCAATAGATCTTACTTATCGTGATTAAATATCAGCAACAATACTTTGTCTAGTTTAAATTATATGCATACTGCTTCTCAAAGTCAACTTACTTTTGTCAGATAGCATATATATATTACAGAAAGTTAAAACGTATAGCTAAAATATAATTCTTCATTTGGATTACGAAAAAGTAATCAAGAGTATTTACTGAATTTTAAAGACCTTAATTACAGGTAATTGACCAATAATAACATTTCTTCGAGGCTAAAGAAAAGTTAATAAAATAACTTACACAGTTGAGGGTAGTTTTATTTTTAACTACTACCGTTTCTTCTGAACCCTGTTATATCTTCACAACTTTCTTTTCTTGACATTGTAGCGCCAAAAAGATTATAGTTTTTAGCCAAGATTTCGCAAGAATCATAGTTTATTTTATTTGTTTTATTCGCGCATAATACTCACATCCATGACGCCTTCTATTAAATGTTCAACATCTCTGATTTTCTGTTGCATTTGCTCATGTTGGAAAGCCTCGCGTTCCATCCTGTTAATCTGGACTGCTAATTCATGGACTTCTTTTTGTGCCAAAACCAGTGATTGGTGGTCAGGATGATCAACAGGAGTATGTTTCAACAGCTCCTATAAGCCGTTTAAAAATTACACTATTAGACAAATTTACGGCTATGCATTTTTATAAACTTATAATTTAGCTTGTACACAAATAAGCCAATAATCAAATAACGTGAATCCTTAATTTCATTATGCATCACGTCACTTCTATCTTTTATTTTATTTTGTGTGGAAGGGGGGGATGAAAGATACGACGATGAATTATCTGACGAGTCAAAATGTAAAATGATTATAGCCAACTTAACACGATATCCACATGCTTTACTCCAAAATCTAATTTAAAATTTAAATAACGTACATAAAGCTCAATGGTAGAAACAATTAAGTGAAATTACCATAATGCTCTAAGATTCGTTCACCGCTCTAATACCAACTATTCAACTATTCATATACATAGTTTTCATTTTTCTGATTTATAGTCACTGTAATGTTGTTTGTTGTGCACCAAACTTATTAATGTTGCCATAGTAACCACGACAATACTCAGTTATACGAACAATGTTGTATTGTTCTATTATATGTATGTTTCTGCGCGCGTTGGTGAAAGCGTGCTGTTCTAATGCAAGCTTAAATCCCCTTTTAGTCCTGTATTTTCATGGAAATAATAAGCATAGTAACACCTCTAACACTTAATACTTTGTTTATTAAATTTCATAAATATATGTTTCAATGTTAAGACTGTGGTATATTTAAACTCTAACCACTAACAGGAACATGAGTCATGATTGCCCTTAAGACATGCAATCACGATTAAATGCTCAGACTTCTGAAGACGTAATTATAATTATTCCTTTAAAGAAGGAGGGTTAAACTAAGTTAAATTCCCATTAAGTACGCAGCATATGTTGCTGTGCTGAGCAGTAGCACACTAACTGTAAACTGTAGAATTGTTTAACGTGATTTTTTGAAACTTTCCTTTAAATTAAAATGTTTGAAGCTATTACATTTGTACCTATATATATATGTGTGTGTGTGTGTTTAAGTTTAATGTCTTTAGTTGCTTCAAAACATAAGTTGATTCTTGGGGAAATAACACCGAAAAGCCTTTCCTACGTGAATTAACGTTTACGATCTCCTTCTTAGTGATATAAAACTGTTTTTGTAATTTCTAATTTGAGAATTAGTGTGATATCGGTTTCTCACGCATATCCGCGCTCTACTATGAGTTACCAAGAAAAACTATTATTTCTGTTCAAATATTTTGCTAACAGGTTTGGTCTTTGGATAACATGTTACCTAGGTATACAGTGTAACCACTCTTTATTCTCCCTAAACCTCTGAACCAATAAGGTTCCTGCACCAAGAAAGAATGCATTGTTGAACGAAAGCTAACTGGATATCAGTCACGAAAGGTTAGAGTTCTTGTGTCAAAGTTCAAGAGTGAAGAAGAGTTTTCGTCTGCTTCCTGTTTTCCCTTTGTTTGTTTTGTACAACGAGCTCTTTATCTAGACTATGTGTTATGGGTATTCTCGTTCTCATTCAATGTTTCTGCTTAGTTTTCTTTGTTTTGTTGCTAAGCGCAAAACCTCACAATGGGCTATCTCTGCTGTATCCGCCGAGGGTAAATAAATCCGATTTTTAGTGATATAAGCCCTCAGACTTACCGCTGAGACACCGGTAGGAATTCAGTTTTCTAAAGTCCAGTGAAGTGTAAAAATCTTGAATGATGATTCTTATTTGATTTTTGATGATGTTTATATTGATATATATATATATATATTGCACGAATATAATCAAGTGTTATCACTAATCTTTTCTTTCAAGGTGCCAGGGTTACATCCTTCTAGTATAGTTTTTATTTAGATCAGTTTAATTTGAGTGAATTTCTTCTGTATTGTAAATTTTGGTTGTATAATTGCAAGTGAATTTATTGTATATGGCAAATTCTGGTTGTATAATTGCAAGTGAATTTATTGTATATGGCAAATTCTGGTTGTATAATTGCATTAAACATGATTATGGCTACCTTCATTACTGTATATTTATATATTACTAATTTCTTCTTCTTTTTTTTTTGTAAATAAACCTTTTATATATCTTCATAATTTAGTTAATTTATTGTATATGGCAAATTCTGGTTGTATAATTGCATTAAACATGATTATGGCTACCTTCATTACTGTATATTTATATATTACTAATTTCTTCTTCTTTTTTTTTTTTTAAATAAAACTTTTTT